TATTATTTAAACCATTTTAATTGATATAAACAATGGGATATAAGTCCGCTTCAAGTATTACAACATACAGAAATTGTGTGTCATTTAGTCGGCATCCGTTCTTCTTTGAATTATTTCGGTGTTGATAAGTAATTATTCTCGGTAAATATCTCCTTTAAACGCATTTTACTTTTCGACAAAATAAAGGTGGAAAACCGCGATCCGCCAAATTATTCAGTTCATTGAGGCAGGGTTTATCTTGTCAAAAACACTCCACAATTTGTTTCTAGATCTCAGCGACTAATTCTAACGATAATTCTGCAAAGCTGCCGGCGGGGACGGCAATTGAACCGCGGATGCCTCGGGTGGAAGTCCAATGGCTAACTGATGGAGCTATAGAAGCGTACAGCCGTAAGGATCAAATTCAGTCATCAAATAGAAAAGATCGGTCACGAAGCTTATTGAAAAGTCCTCCTGCCAAGCGAACTAAAAGTCTTAAATGTTTAAGGGATGCAACTCATAAAGATGAGGCCTGCATATCATATTTTACCCTTCTTAACAAACTTACGAAACTTGAGGAGGGAAGATGAAGCCTGCATATCATATTTTACCTTTCTTAACAAATTTACGAAACTTGAGGAGGTGGTTAATAGTCTAATAGTGGAGATGGAGGAGCTGAAGAAATTTTCTCGATTTCGGCTTCACGAGGAGAAACTGGCGATGCGTGAAATTGAGGGAGGGGTCCTAACTTTAGCAGCAGCAGCATCCCTCGCTGTGGCGTCTACGCAGGAAAATGATCAGGCAAGTAACATAAATAGTCAAGTTGTCCTCGACGAGGAGCACCGTGATCAAGATCCTACAGAAACATCTCTAACGGTCTGCGGGACTGATATTCTGCGACCAATTTCAGCCCATGAGGAACTACCTGACCTTACAAATCCTCATGGCCATAGCACTGAAGCCCGTGCTGGAATCAGCCGGACTATCCAAAAAATACCTCGAGACAAAGTTGAGGTGGATAGTACACAGTGCATTATTCTACACGGGCTCCCTGAATCAACTAATGGTAGTCCAAAGAGCAGAATAGATGAGGACA